GACGACTCTAGAGTTCTTCAGGTTTTCAGTCAGTAATTATCAGCTATTCTTGGCAACTCGTCAAGAGATCTGTGTGCCTAGTAATCAGTCAGTAAGTCCATCAGGCATATTTAGTAATGTTAAACTTTTCTCGATGTTCAGATATCTCTCCGTAAGGGAATCCGATCACTCAGTTTTTATTCAAACTTCAGTAGTCGCACAGTTTCGCGACTATCATGTTGAGAAATTCTTCGGCCGAAGAAATCCCCGTATCAGGGGCAAGTGAATTCATAATCCTTTCATAGAAAGGATTGAGTTTAAGAACTCTAGATTCAATTCTAGATTAACTCAAGTCAAGTTAGTAACTTGTCAGAAGATTTGTAAGCGTTGTGCTAAACAAATCGTAAGAATCATGTTTCTCAGAAAGTTTTAGCGAGAACTGCCAATTGGCAGACTTCAGGGAGGAATTCCTTGATTTAATTCGAGGAATAGACTCAAAGTTCCTAAGTCAGATCAGTAAGTCCTGTCCAAAGCAAGAATGTTCATGTTGAAGGTTGTTATAGTTCTTAAGACATCAGTAACGCTTCCCAGTGTATAAGAGTCAATAGTCCGGGTTACCATGGAGGCTTGAAATAAGAGCCACTCAGCCGGGTATACCATGGAGGCTTGAAACTGGGGCCGAATCAGTGAGATTTCAGGAAATAACAACCTTTCAAGTCAGTCATGTCAGTTATTTTATCAGTCATGCTATCTTAAGTTACGACTTTCAGAAGTCAAGATCAGCTAACTACTTTGTACTTGCGGGACCAGTTGATACTGGAGCAGCCCTATATAGTACAGAGTTCAGATTCATGATTTTCAGTTCATGTTTATGATATAAGGTCGACGTATAATAGTTGTTCAGCCGGGTAATAGGTAGCGGTCTGATATACAGACCATCAGTTCAGATTTACCTGGAAACTTGAAGTCGTACCTTATCAAGTTAAGTAAGTCAGTAAATATCACTTTTTCAGTCCTGAAGCAACTATTTAAGTTGTCTCGGGATAGTTCAGAGTTTGAACATAGATGATTCAGCCATGCGAGAGTTAAGTCATGGTTTTTCAGCCATGAGAGTATTCA